ATATAGAATTTCTTATAAAGAGAAACACGATGTCTTGGAGTTGTCTCTTCTGTTACATATACAAGGATGTGTGTGTTTCACCATCAATCCAATCTGGTTTTGCCTTCATTTTTATTTGTTGAAACAGTTTTTGGTGACAATGTACTTCATCCTTTTTTCAGATATCGATTAATGTACCTCAGAGGACTACAGCAGTGCATGTGAGTGGGGTGAGAGCAAGCTCACAAGGAGTTGCAGCCTCAAAAGTGATGGTTTCAATTGGGGAAAGAAATAAAAATCTGAAAGGTATGATAAAAAAACCTTTATGCTGATTGCTTATTGTATGTTTGTATATTCACGATAGGTGTGTGTTTTGGGGGTTTTTTTGTTTGTTTTTAAAGGTCTGTGAAGCTGGCATGGCCAGATCTGTATGAAGCTCGAGTGCCTTTCTGGAATCCTAGGAGCTCTAGAAGAATCTTTGGGCCATGTTACAGAATTTGGAGGGTGTTCTGGGGCACTATTAAGATTTCACATCTATAAAATCGGTAGATAATAGAATTGTCATTTTTATAATCATATCACAAAACAGTTACTAGGCTATTAGCTGATTGTTTCCTTATATGTTTAATTCCAATTGCCTTCAAGTTACTATTTTTTCTTACTGAGCATGTTTAAAGTAGTTACCATCCTTAAATCCTCTACAGAAATTATCAGTAATTAGAATCAAAACAAAAATTAAGCATCATATTATGTCCTTATTTAATAAGCTGTATTTTGTTTGATTATAGTTCCTTTTAGTTTCTAGCTTAACACTTAGCACTTGTTCAAATAGTATTTTATTGTGCCTTATGTAAATTATTAGCCTACCAAAAAACCATCTTGCCAGATACTGAAATATAAATTGAAACTCCGAGGATCATCTAAGTTATTCAACAGGCACATCTGAGCTGAAAATTCTCTCTAGTTCATTCTTTCCTGTAAATAAATTATTCCTTTCAAAAAAAACCCCACAACATATACAGTTTTCATTTGCTGTCTCTTTGGGATTAGCCCTGAGATAGGACAGCTGTCTATGGTTTCCAGCTGTTTTAAGATCGATATAACCTTGTGAAACTAATTTCAGAAGGTGGAAGAATAACCTGATATATCAAGCCATGGTTTTGCTTTAAATTAATTACAAAATAATTAGTTATAATTTGTCCTCTAATTAGTTAGAGATTAATCATTTTTTTCTTCCCCTTAGGGGAGTGCTTGCCTGCTCAGACTGAAGCCATTGCTGAGTTACAGCCACAGTCCCTTATCAGTTGCCATCTAGATTTTAACAATGATGCGTTTGACTTCCCAGCACATGATATTTTTAAAGCAGAACCTGGATTTGATGCAGTTTCAGGTAAGATGAGGCAAGAGGCCACGCTCCAGGCAGACACATTGAACTCTACTGTGGTTGAGTCCAAATGCACTTTGACCAGGCAGACTTCCTTCTGAAGCCTCTGAGATGTGCTGCGTAGGATCTCAGGCTTCAGCAAGCTCTTAACGTGTACTTGCCTTGTTTAACTCTAGGGTTTTCTGCGTGTGACAAAAACATTTATTTCTTTTCAGAGAAAGCCAGAAATCAGTGGCAGCCCATTTCATATCTTTTTTCAGAGTTGTAGTAGTAAGTCAGGAAGAAACTCAGAAGCATCATTTTGCTTGTTGGGGGGGAACAAACTTTGATATGTTTTTTTAACTACAGATTTAGGCCCTAATTTTGCACATTGCTACTTGAATATTTGTAGGTATGTAGACAGTGCAATGGTACCCTGAGACAGAAGTGATGGTATTGCAGAACATAGATGTAACACACTGGGGTCGCACATGTTGTAGAGCTAGCAGCTGTCAGATTCTACTCCAGCTGAACTGTAAAAAACATCATGACCTTGTGTATAGCAATTTAGAGAAGAATATCAGGCCCTCTATTTGTTAAACTATGGAAGCAAAACAATTCCTCCTTCAGCTGGTACAAGTGAGCACTCAGGTGATAAATATTCCAAAGCTGGGTATCTCTGCAGCTGTTAACATCTGGTGCTTGTAGGCATTTTCTTGCCATACATCAGTCCCTTTACTGTATACTTAAACATAGTGGAAGTTAAGCCTAGAGATAAGAGAAACAGTCATGAGTTTTAATGTCTTTGTAGCAAGGATCTTTAGATTTCACTGAATTGTGCTCTACAGTCAAATATTCTTTGTTTGATGCTGGCCTTTTGAAAGCCCTGCTGCTGTAGTTATTGCAGTATAGGTAACCTGATTAAAGTGAGGGAAATAGCGTAAATGTGAAAATTTGGTGGAAGTAATACATTTTGAATTCTTTTTGTTCTGTAATTGAAACATTTCTGGAATTTATCATGCTTTCAAACTTGCCTGCTCAACCTGAGTGCTGTAATTTCTTATGAAAGGTAGAATTCTTATGTATCCTCAAAACAACATGAACTGAGACTTAAAAGGAGGGGAAATTACCAGATACTGTGGAAGTCTATAAGATCTTTTGGTGTTTCATAACTATAACATGACTTAAAGAAGAACCAAAACACTATGAACTGTACTGAAATAACATAAATTATTTGTTAGATTAGTCCCTCTGCCCGTTGTGTAAAACACACCTTGCATAATAGTGGCTGCCTCTGTCACTTTGTTAGGAAAAGAAAGTAAGGGGAAAATCGCAAGTTCTGCTTGTTACTTATGCCTGGTATCTTCCATACTGGGGGAATTTTTTACTATCTTTATCGCTAATAGTAGACAAATAGATCCCATAAGAGACTAGAAACATAGTGAATATCTAACCTTTAAAGAAGCTTTTATAAATAATAAACCCTGTCTCCACAGAAGCGATGATGGTGATGGTAACTGACTATAATGTTAACATTAGGTAAAGAGAATATGAAACAGGATGTTAGATTTTGTTTTCAAGTAAAGCCTTCCTGTCAATATTAGCATAAATGTTCTGTTTGAAGTGGAATTGAGTCTCACTGGCATATTAAAATAAAATGTGTCCGGTAACTGCCATTTTAGTGTTGTCATCATGGTGTCTTGTTTGGCACAAGAAATATCTTCTGTTTGTCATGCTTGGACCAGCAGACACACTGCCCCATTCACCTGCACGCTCCTGATCTTGGTGTTTGTTGAATTTTACCACCTCTTTTAGGTCTTCTCTAAAGACAAAAATCTTGCTCTGAATGGAGAAGAAAACAAAGATGAGCAATTAACAGTCAAACTGCTTTTGTTCCTATAGGACGTTACACCTGTTCCATCACAATGCACAAGCTCACTGACAAGCAGCTGAAGCATCTCAGCATGAGTAAAACTGCACTGCGAGTTACGGCTTCAATCCAAGGCAGCCACTTCTCTGGAGAGCAGATCAGCACTGAGGTGCAATTCAATCCAGGGTTTTATGCTGACCAAACGGAAATGCTATTAAGTAACCATTACCCAAGCTCTGATGTGAAAATATTTGGTGCCACTGAAATTCTTGATACCCTGGAGGTGAGTCTGTTGCTGGAAAGTCTCACAACAGAGTTGAAAGCATTTTGAACTGTTAAAGGCAACTTTCTAACCGGAGGCACTCTGTACCGCCTGTATTTACTGTGGCAAGACTGTTCCTGAGATGATTTGGAAATTCTCATCTTGTTATGTATTCCTCCTCAGTTTTCACTTGTTTTAGTAGAAACTGTGGTGGTAGAAATGTGTCAGGCTCGCATCTGTTAACCAGCTGACAGGTGGGGAAGCAGGAAACCTGCCTGATCCCCAAGCGGGAGGGGTCGGCTCTTGCCTGCTGACTCATTTGACCGCACACGGTTCACATAGCCCAGCAAGGGATGCTTTGATTTTTGCCTGGATGGGGTTAGCCTAGCCCCACAGCAGCAGCAGGTAATCGGGCAGCCTTAACAGTAAACATGGTGAAGTGCTGCAGGGGTCACTGTAAAGTTGCAAACAAGTCCAACTCCTGCTGAGGCGCGAGTTGCTCTGTGTTTCTGTGAAATAATGTATTTCTGACATGTGGGCTGCAAGAGGGCTATGCGCAGTGCTTTCTCTAGCAGTCTCCTTCAGGTTGTTTTTTTTCCTTGGCAGGTGAAATGTGGGTCACCAGCACTGAAGGCATTCGAGAAAGAGAGATTCTATGGTCTGCCTAGTTATGCAGTCTACACCGTCAGCCTGTCTGATCCAGGAGCTTCAAGCCAGGGATCCTTATCAGCCACTCTAGCTATCTTTAGTCCTGTGACTGACCAGTCTATCACTATCCCAGTGACAGTGATTTACTTGACTGACAGAACGAGTGCACCAGTGAGACGTAAGTTTATCTCTAGACTTCATATGCCGGAATAAACCTGTAACTTCCATTAATGTTCATGAGGTGTGAAAGATATTAAAATTTGGTGTGTTAAAATCTGAGCTGGCAGCTAATGTTACCATTGACATGTAGGCTGCTCACCGTGGCCGGAAGACTTGAATACTCAAGTTCATTATGACTAAAACTGAGCATATTTTCCTTTTGGGCATCCCAAAATACTTTGTTGAAGTTGGCATAAATATCCCAGTGCTAAAATGTCTGAAAGTAATTTTTTTTTTCTGCTTTTGTTTACTCTCAAGCATGCCTTGTTATTTTGAAAACAGATTAGCATTCTTTTTTTCTCTGCTTTTGTTTACTCTCAAGCACGCCTTGTTATTTTGAAAACAGATTAGCAT